TGGGAAGAGATATGAGGGGAAAGAGCTGACGAGCCCAGCAGTCAGAGGACACGTGCCTTTGCCACGTGTTACCGAAGGTCTTCATAAGAGGACAAGCTCCCAAGGCAACAGCGTTTTTCCCTGCTTTCAGTTTCAAGCCCATTCGGCCGGAGGAAGGGGCTTTTCCTCATAAACCATCGTCAGACCTGGGCTGGCTTCCAGCCCTGCTGTAGCCCCTGTCCTTTGTTCATCTGCAGCACTCGAACAGCCGGAGAACAATGGTGTGTACACACGGCTCTTCCTGCCCCAGCCCCGCCGCGCACGTACTCCCTGTTGAGTAAGCTGCCGTTGTACAAGCACATCTTACGGAGTGACAACAAGAGCCCCCACTGGCTTTGAGCTGTTTTAAAAAGAAACGAACAGGCGCCTTCTCATGTTTACTCCACAAGAGCGGCCTTAAAAACCCAAGAAAGTCCTCGGCGCATGTGGGAACACCCGCCAAGAGCTGCACATGGCCAAATTTACAGCAAAAAATGGGGTGTGGATGTGGCAGAAGAAGCTGGGTTCAGTTTTTTAAAACCAAAGAAAAGGCAGAGCTTTTGCCCCCTTTTTTTCGCTGTACTTGGACTGAGCTTTTCTAAGCCCATCAGAAAGGCCTTTCTGATACAGACCATATTAGCGAATGAAATTTTCCCACTCTTCGCCTCTTCCCATCACCCCAGTACTCTCAAAGGCCTTGCTCTAGCAGAAGGTGAATGGATGCGCCACTGCTTTGCCTGGAGACTTGCAGTGCATGGAAATGGTCACTAGCATGGGAGCAGGAAAGGATGACAGGAAGATGGTGTTGAGGGTTAGGGTCATGCGTAGTTATCTGCCAGGACAAACAGGAAGAGAAAGCAAAGCCATGGCATGATGCTGAAACTTACCCCCCTTCTGAAGAATGAAAAGTGGACAAACCCTGAAGGTCATGGTGGTAACCAGGACCTGCTTGCCTCCCTTGGCTCCCATGGCTGCTTTCAGTGCTGTTCGAGCTGGTTTTCACGAGAGGTTTCTTGCTGTATGCCCCAACTCTAGAGCCTGCTTCAAACCCGTTCAGCGTTCTCTGAGCAGATCTGTTCCCCACAATTTCATGCCGGTATCCATCGTATCTGTTCTCATATGAAACCGGGGGATTTTTGGACAATTTGTATCCATGAGAAATCAGGAGGTCCTCGACACTGAACATATTGTGCTGGTTCCACTCACAGCCGTGCCATCAGAAAGCTCTTTCCAGCTGGACCCATCACTGGAAAACAAAACCAGATACAAACAGAAGGCCGCATAAACAAAGCAAGAGATCTTTGATCAGCTGGTAGGCTGCTGAAGCTAAGAGTCTCATCCCCTGGCCCCACCCTTCCACCCTTCCAATAAAATAGATGAAGCAAAGTGCCTGTAGATGCTGATGAATCGTGTGCTGACCTCCCCTAGACAATACACCTCCGTGCACTCAGCCGAGCAGCAGATGCCGCGCTGCTGCTGACTCAGTCCCTTTCAATGAAGAATTAATTCACTGGTGATTGCAGCTTTCGGATTTCACTAAGTGATCTCAAAAAAAATCTTTGCACCAGAGGTAAGCCCGCAGTTTGAATCAGGCATTTCCTTAAAAAACAGTTTTTCCCCAGTCATGGAGAGGTGTGCTCTGTATTACGTTTTAAGTTGCTGCAGGAGGAAGGGGCGGATTACAGGGCAATGTGCCTCTCCCTACAGCTCTGCATATTCCAGTTAAGAAAAAATGTTCACATGAACAAGGACAAAATATGCATGAGAACAAAAATGAATTATGCAACCACATGAGAAACCCAGGTAATACCATGCAATACCCCAACTGAACAGTCCTTTTTACAGACTACTTTCTTTTTGGCCTGCATGGGCCTGCTGGAAATCAGTAATCCTCAACTAGAATAATACAAACCCTACAATTTTCAAGTATGGTCTATTTTTACAGCACACTTCCACTGCATAAAATGACTGGAAACAACCTGAGATGCCCGTGTCTATCGTGTCTCAATGATTTCCAAGACATGGGACAGTCAAGATGTTTCTTCCCAGTGACAGCCCTCAATTCTGCACTGAGTGCAGCAAAGATTCGGCAAACTGAATTAGTTGGCCAGAAACAATCTCTATTGTCTATACCGCTCTTGCAGCTTGTTATGGCAATTACAGAATACCCATTCTTCCAGGGATTTAAACCGAGTGGAAGGTAATGATCTATTCCGTAGGTTGTGTACAACAATGGGCCCATTCTGGTATGTTCCTCCTCGCTTGAACTGTGTTACCAGAAGAAAGGAAGAAGAAAAAAAAAAAGGTGCATAAAGAAGAAGTAAACCACACAGAAATAGATTTGTTATGTAAAACATAAAACACTCGAGGTGATTTTCCCTGCATGAAGAGCTCATTTAAGACGCCCGGTGAGTAGTGTGCGTCCTTAGTAGTAGCAGGTCTACCTGAGGGACAGGAGCCCAGCACTGGCAGCTGCTCAAAAGGAGATCGTCTCTGCAAAGATCAAGAAAAGCAAGTGCATTTTCTACACCAGGCTCTAATGCTCTTCTTGGGCAAGAAGAAAAGGAGGACTTTGTTCACTGCTGTTTACAATAATTTACTTTAGATGGAGCAACTACTGAGACAGCTGCTGCACATTTATTAGTACTAAATCTCTCAGACTACATAGCAGGAGTTGATGGGTTCGCTTAGACTATAAACCAGTTTCTGTGGTGCAGCACTCCATATCTTATGGCCATTTTCTGCCTATCCAGCACCCCATCCGCTTTCTGCTACCGCCCTGTCTCCTGGATGCTCTGCAGACTGCGGAGCCGGTCTGGCCGGCCGCTCCGGGCCAGCCTGGTGTGCAGCTCCTGGGCACGCAGGGACCCTCCAGCCGCCTCTGCCGTGCGCTGCCCGCAGCAGCCACAGTGCTCGCCCGAGGCTAGCCCGTGGTGTGGAAAAACACGCACAATTTTTATGCAGAGCCACAATTTAACTGGTAACCTGGAACGCTGCAGAAGTGGCTTTTCAGCCTGAGAGCCTGCTGAGCACTTAAGCCGGTTTGTCTCTAGAGCTTAATGAATCTCGTCCCTTTTCACACATGTAACACTACACACCCTTTAAAAACAGAGAAATAAATCTCTGTGCCGAGGATATTTTAGGAGTATCCCTTGCTAGAACAGGACTCCAAATTCCCAGTAAGTGCTCCAAGTAAGTGAGCCAGCAGTAAGCACAAGCAGGCAGAAAGCAGGGAGGAGCGGGACCCTTCCCTCTTGGAAGGAAGGGAAGGCTTCGTGGATTATTTTTGGATGCTGACCTAAAAGGCTGGTTTTCCATCCACCCGCCACCCCGGACTATGCAAGGAGCCAGGTACGAGCAGAGCAAGAGGAACAGCTGGCTGCTAGGGCTGTTCAACCTCTAACAAGAGAAAGATCCAATGTGACTGCCATAAACAGCAGAGAGCCCATCTGAGCGCTCACAGGTGCAAGGAAGAAATGTGCTTTTCCTGCTATTATTGTCAGGCTGGCTTGGAGCACAGCTTAACCCTCTCTCTGCTGCCCACTGCAGCCATGGTGCCATCAGAGAGGCAAAGAGGCAAGAAACCTCCAGCCCGTGGGGTTTTCTCTGATCCTCCTTTTGGCACCAGTGGTGACAAGCAATGAGGTGGAAATGAAGCATGAGGAACTGGTGTGACCGTCTCCTCCTACTCTGCAAACTTATCACGTGGGGAAGGGAAAATCCCATGGTGCTATGGGTGGTGGGAAGGCCCGGCTGAGAGCGGGGTGCAACCCCTGTGCCCATCACAGCTCCACAAATGGAACAAACAAGGCAGAGGAGCTTGCACCCCTCTGCCTGCCGCGGTGCCTTTGGCACCACCCCCCCGAACGAGCTCTCCTCAGGCCTGCCACATGGAGAAATGCTCCATGCCCATGGCACAAGCTCCCAGGAGGTGGTAGCAGTGGTGGCGGGTGGCCACTAGCCCGGACACTGTCAGGACACACGTCTCGAAGGGCTGCACAGATGTCGCGGGGAGGTACCACCCCCCTGCATTGGACCTGGCCGGGGACAGGGCAGCTGGAGGCCCTGCCTGAGCAAGGCTGCAGGACATCAACCATGTCAGCACCCAACATCCACAAGGACGCCAGCCAGCTTTCCAAACCCACCTGCGGTGCCAGGATGCTCTTCCCACCCTCCCTTAGATAAATAAATCTAAAAAACAAAATCAAAGGATTGGATTGGCAGGAGTAACAAAACCGTTGCTGCGGCACTGTCTTGTAAATAAGCTGTCAGACTGGGCCAAAGAGTAAAGGCTGTGCAGAGCTTCTAATTTGAGGGAAGATCAACAACGCTGGAAAACAGTTTGTTTTTCCAGCACTCATTTGTTTTGTTTGCCAATGACATCAGTGCTTTCTGATAGGGTTTGCTTCCTGAGGATGCCTGCTATCTTGCCAGCGTTTCCGACTTGTCCCCGTCAGCCGGTACAACTCCGCATTACACTGGAAACAGGGGCCAGGTTTTTTTCTGGAAACTTCTCAGCAGCACGCTCAGATGCAAAGAAACAAGCGCAGGCTGACTGGCGGAAATCAGCATCAGCCCCCGTGTCCATAGACACAATGGGGACCCACAGCCTCGGCAAGCAGGACACAATGGGACCGCCAGATGGAAACGTCATCAGAGCACCTCGGCTCGGGGTGGTCTGTCCCAGGGCAGGGAGCTCATCACTGGCCCTGGGAAAATCCCAAATTGCTGCTGAGAGACACCCTGAAGAAATCTGGTGCTAGGATTTCCTCTGAGCTGCTGCTGGGGCCCATTCTCGGTGGGGGAAATGCCCTGGTTTCTGTTGATGGTCTGCCTTTATCAGCAGGTTTTTGGAGTGGCAGGAGTTCCCAAGCCTTATTATTTTGGGGAATACCATCACAACCTGTACAATGGCCAGGACCAGTGATGATGAATGCCAACACTTACAGCAGTGGCAGAAGCAGCTCTTACCTCCATGCTCTGAAACGGCTTGCGTGCCGCTGAATCCTCTCTGCGCGACATTTAGAGCTGCCCATCAGCGTGCTCCTTTGGCTAGCCCTGGCTCCAGAGAGCGCCCTGGCACAGCACCCACGTGGTAGGTGGGAGACCAGAAGTGACAGAGAATGTGGCCCTGGCTGCCCTCTGTTACAGTTCTCCCACCCTCTGCTATTTGAAATGAAGTGGAAAGTGGCAACCCTTTAACTGTTTGAATACAACCCCCAAAACCCCTTCTTGCGTGTTATTTGCCCTGCCCACCTCTGCAGAACTATTTATAACATTTTTGTAAGTGATTCTGTACAACCTTACAGAAAAGAAAGCATCAAAGGAACATGTTTCATACTGCAAAATGAAGCATACAAACATCATGAACTGCCAAAATCCAAGGCACCCTGCATGGACACACGAGTTGCCGCAGTCTATAATTACATGACTTCAGGCTACTGAAGTCTGCAGGACTCCTGCCTGGTTTGATACGCAGGCCAGGTGATGCTAGTCTTCCTAGGTTTTATCTGCAGCAGCATCCAAACACAACTCTGAAGACAGAGTTACTAACGAGCACCTGAATTACAAAGGACACTATCCAGATGGGTCACACATTAAACTAGCTTATCTTCACGTACGTCTGGGTGACATTATTCCCATTTCACATCAGACGTGTGCCAGACAGAAGTATTTATGCGGATAGACTAAAGTGAAAACAACCCCCTCCATTCTAGGCATTCAGTCTGAAGTGTCTACTACCTGATTTTTCAAGGCACTTAGCCTTAAAACTGAACCAGGTACGTTCAAAGCAACTGCTGCAAGAACCTAGTGCCTCTGCACGTCGAACCAAGAGTAGCAAGTCAGGTGCCCACACAATGAAGACATCAGTTGCAACAATTTGTCTGCCTTGCTCTCCTCTGTCCCTCTGCCCATCTAATCCAGCATCAACGCTTTTGTCCAGGCAGCCCCCATCTCCCTCCTACCCCTGTCAGCTCCTTACCGCCGTGTACACCGGTGCCTTCATTTCCCACTTTCCAACCTTCTGGCCAGTCAGAGTGACCTGTCCTTCCCACCGCCCTCCAGTATCCCTCCCCTGCCTTCCCATCTCCTGGTCCCATCAGTCCATCTGCTCTTCCTGCACAGGCCACCGCCGTGCTAACCAGCACACCCTGCCCTCCTGCAGCCCTTACAGCTTCTCCCCACCCGTCCTCTTCGCATCCCTCACCCCAGTTTTCCTCCTTCCCC